CGTTTGCGTTGGCCCTGAAAAGGCTTCGTTCGGCTTGACACGGTGATTAGTATCGAATAGAATTCAAGATCGATCTTGTTCCTCCTTTCCATTTCTGGGCGGTTTGGTGATTAACGGCCTAGTTCTGGTAAGTGGACGCGAATGCGCTATCCTCTTATCGCGACCTGCCTACAGTTAACTATTGAGCTTACTTTTTCGTCGGCGAGCGTATAGGGTGAATGCGGCTTTGCTTTTGCCTGCCTTGTGCTAATATGGATCACATAGTGATACTAGCTCTATGAACCCGTCTATGCAATAGGCTTACAGAGGAGATCATTTCCATGCGCAAAGCCCGATAAAGCTGACAGATATATAAAATTGGAATAGGTGGTTCATGAAATACCCGATACGGCTTAATAAGAGGAAGTCAAAGTAGGGGAAAGGGTAACTACTAGGGCATATAGAGTTTGAAAAATTCAAGTGAACAACAATGACTTATCAGTTCGCCGATTGGCGTGGAGGATGCCAGCAACATTTTAAATCACCTACAACTACGCTGGCCGCAGAGAGGGCAAAGGTCACGCAAGCCCGCCACCTGATAACAAATTCCCCCGGTCAATGTGACTTACGACATTTTTGATCAAAGTGTTAGTGCTTGATCAAGGAATTGGTGATGCCCGGTTAATGCACTGTGAGTGCCGAGTATAACAGGAATTGAAGCAACTTGTTATTGTCTCAGTGAAATAAAATCGCAGGTGAAAAGGAACCCCTGCAGACCACAAAACTATCACAGCAAACCCACTGGCAAATTAAAGAATCCTCTAGACCAAAACCAACCTCTTCAACAATTATATAGCATATTGCTTAATTAAGGAAGCCTATTTCCATAAGGTGACCTGACAAGAAATTTTCGCCAGCAACGTTTCCACGAAATGGCTTAGCGAATGATTATCAATGACTACAATTTCCCAAATTGTAAGAACTCGAAAATGGTAATTTTTTAATTTGCTACTGCTTAAATGGCAACAGTAGTTTAAGTATGCACCTCATGCACCCCCAGACGCGGAATGGTATGCTGTTGAAACGATAATTACGGGTGTTTTATGGATGGAAAATCATGATAGACAATTAAATATACGTTAATAACTCTTATATGTATTTTATTTGATTGTAT